ATAAATAATTAGTAAAGAAACATCCCTTGACGCTCCTATTTCTTTACATTTTTTATTATATTGTTATCTTATAATTTTTTATAAATAACAATTTTTTTATGTGATTTTATTTATTATATTAAATTAAAATAATTAAATATATTATGTATTACATATTATATTATAATAAAAACAATTCAATTATATAAAATCAAACATTTTAAACACTTACATTTTGATTACACACAAAACCTGAAACTCTTATTAGTGTTATGTAAGAGTTACTTTCCAGTGTATTATTAATTTATCATTTTTACTATTTTAGTTTTTGCCCTTTATTATGAATTTTGTATTATCACTTAAAAATATTATTAATATTGAAGATAACATAAGAAAGGAATTTATATATAACGTATTAGAGAATATTTGTTTCTACTTTGTTAGTTAGATGTTACGATAAAATATTTGTATATATGAAATAATAATTTATTAAAAGAATAAAAGTTTCTAATTTTGAATAAAAAGGACAGAGATACTGATATAGATTAACATTTTCTAAGCGAATTATTTGGACGAAAAGCCTCGCCGTATTCCCCCGCCAAAGAGCGTCCAACTATAAATAATACCCTGTTCAACTTTCGTCTCCCTCCTGCACACTCCATTCAAAAGTACCCTCCCTTAAATCCTGAATCATTTTCCTCTCGCCTTTCTATCTAACCCTTCTCTCAACTTCAAACCCCACTCTGAATAATTTAGGAACTCTTCTTTCACTTCTTCTCCCAGGTCTCTCTCTCTCTCTTTCTCTCTCTCTCTACTCGTGAAAGCACACTTGAGAAACTTGATTTGTCTCTGAATTTTAGGATACAATAGGAAAATTGTTTTCATCTTTGTTTCCGATGTACTTGAATTCTATATTGAAGCAGTCAAGAATCGTCTTTCTCAGATTACATTTATGTGTTTGAGTTTGTATCGGTCTGTTGCAATTCTACTCCGTACAATCTAGATATTTCGAATCGATTAATCGTTCATTACATTCGAGTATAGCATGGAGATTTTTTCCGCTGAGAAATTATTTGATTTTGGGGAGAACGATGAGGATTTCTGAATTTATCCGGCTGATTTTTTTCATGGTTTCAATATTCAAGGATTTTAGTTGTCGATTTATTGAAAATATTTTAATTCGTTTTGTTGAGTTAGAGAGATAGGTTGAATTACGTTTAAATGATATTTAGAAGCTTTGGTTTGCAGATATTTGTTTACAGAATTTGACGGATCTCTTTTCATAATTTTTTTAATGTCAGTTACTGTCATTCTTTAGTTAAATTTTTTTTTAGTATCACTATTGTCTGAAAATTAGTCGGAATAAGTAGTGGTTCTATTTTAGTTTTATATCTCAATACTTGTTAACGATATTCTTGATCATGTTAGCTTTATTACGTTCATTTCTGTAAGTTAGAACTGAAGTTCTGTTTTTAACTTCTTTTTGTTTCGTTAATTCAGCATCCTGACTATGGATTCATATTCTTTGAAGTCTGCGTTCGATTTGCCTCCGCCTTTTCGTTCATGTTTTAGTTTCAGGTACTGTATAGTGAAAGATATCATAAGAGCTTGTTTGGCCAAATAATATAATCAATTTCGTCTACCTTGTTCCACACATTTTTCTTGTTTCACAACAGTAAAAGTGAGATGACATCTTTCTTTCTTGATAACTGGATTTTCTGTGCACATCAAGGAACCCAAACAAGCTCGCTCTTTCATTTTCCTCACCCTCTCTTCCTCTCTCCCTTGATGCCAACAGGCATAACGCTTTAGTTCGTGTCACACTCCCCAAGGTCTTAAATAAGAGATGAAAGTCATCTATCACTTGTCTTTAAAACATAAAACAAAATTCAGTGCTTTTCCTTCCAACCCTTTGACTATCAGGTTCAGAAAATACTGATTTCCTGGCTTTGTCTCACATGACTTTCACTATATGGCATGCAGATATTTTAATTCACTTCAGAGTGAATGCTTTCCTATCTGTTTTCACTCTGATGTAAACATGATCATCTCTGCACCAACTGGGAGCGGTAAAACTGTACTCTTTGAGCTTTGTATTTTGAGGCTACTTTCCAGGTTCATATCTGCCGGGGGAATATTCATACATGAAAAGGGATCTCTTAAAACAGTAAGTCCTTTCCTGAAAAAAAAAGCCTATGGTCAAGTTATTTTTTAATTCGTGTTAATGTTATTAGCCCAATAATAATGAATCGTATGAAGCACATTTTGATGAGTATTTCTATTATGTATAGTAACTATCAATCATCTTCACTCTTCGTGTTAAGATCTATATAGCCCCATCCAAGGCTTTAGTACAGGAGAAGCTCCGTGATTGGAATAAAAAGTTTGGGCCATTAGGAATAAATTGCCTGGAGCTGACAGGTGACAGTGAATCTTACACTCCAAGGAATATACTAGAAGCTGATATTATTCTCACAACTCCTGAGGTCAGTATGCAAATGGAAGAACATAAGCAGATCAAGACCATTTGTTATAATTTTTTCTTATTTAAAATATTAAATGGATATATTTTACATTCACCCGAAAAATGGATGTATTTTAATTTTACAATGAATTATTAAGTTTATGCATGCATATGTTCCCCGATACCCTTAACCTCTAGAAGCATATATTTTTCAATAAGAAATTAAACTACACTTAGAGATTTATGTGTGATAAATCAGCATTCCGTGTACACAAACAAAAGAAATAGGCTGACTGATTTATTGACACTCTGGGAGATAGCTGAACTTGATTTCTTTTTTCCAATAAATAGAAATTTGATGCAGTGTCACGTTACGGTATAGAAAGTGGTGGCTTGAGCTTTTTCAGTGACATTGCACTTTTACTAATCGACGAAGTTCATCTATTGAATGATCCACGTGGAGCTGCCCTTGAAGCAATTGTTAGTAGAATAAAAATCGTTTCTGGCAATCCAAAATTGAAATCAAATCCTCTGGCTCAGGTCCGCTTCCTAGCTGTGTCTGCCACAATTCCAAATATTGAGGATCTAGGTAATTTTTATTAATTGATGTTGTTACTGTGAAATTCAAATAACATGCCAACAACCGTGGCAAGAATTTTATGTAATACATGCACTATTGCAGCAAAGTGGCTTGAGGTTCCTGACCAAGGGATCAAAAGGTAGTTTTCCACCTAAACATCTATCTAGGACTCTATCCTATAATACTGAAAGTCGATATTGAGACCAATTCTGCTTTGCTTTTTTGAATGTTCCCAGGTTTGGAGAAGAAATGAGGCCCGTAAAGCTGACAACCAAGGTTTTTGGTACGCAAATATAATAGAACTCAACTATCGTTAATTTAGTTTCTGATCAATTATCATTCCATCTCTTGCATCCCACTACAAAATCTATTCGTCCAACTTGAATCAGCTTTTTTGTCAGAAAAAATAGGGATGAAAGCAACAAAGATAATGAATTTGAATCTGTGAATTTTATTGAATATTAGTAATATATAAATGTTTTAATACCCTTCTTTACCATATTTGTATAGGCTATGCCCGTGCCAAGAATGACTTCCTCTTTGAGAAGGTTTGTTTGAAGTTGACAAAGTTTAGAGATTATCAATCTTGATTTTGCTCTAGGAGCTGCTATATTTAAATAACCAATTTTACTAATCAAACTTATTTTTATTTATGCGTTATACATTTCTACTACCATGCAGCGCCTTCAAAATTATATTTTCGGTTAGTAAAGATAAGTCACCCTGCCAATCCATAGCTTTTAGTTTTTCACTGCTATTGAAATTTCTATACAATGAGAACTATTTCCAGTTTATATGTACAAATGATTTCAGATATTCTCATGCAATACTCGAGAGGGAAATCTGCTCTTGTATTTTGTTCAACAAGAAAAGGAGCACAAGAAGCTGCTCAGCGACTATCTCAAATAGTAATGACTTTTGGTCAATCAAATCCATTCATTAAGAACAGAGAGCAACAAGATCGGCTGAGGGAGGCTTCTCTGTCATGCAGTGACAAGCACATGCAGTCATACATTCTTTACGGTGGTATGAAAGGAATCTATTTATTGTTCTGGGCATTGGATAAACTATGAATGTTATTTGAAATTGACTACAGTCCCATGCACGTGATAGGACTTCCAATTGGTTGATTGTGACTTTTAGAAAATGGTTTTTCTACAGTTGGTTATCACAACGGTGGGCTTTGCCTCAAAGATCGCAATATTGTAGAAGGCCTTTTTCTCAAGGGAGATATTCAAGTACTTTGCACAACAAATACGCTAGCCCATGGAATCAATCTCCCAGCACATACCGTGGTTATTAAATCAACACAGCACTTGTATGTCATCTTTTTTTATGCATTTCACTGTTGCACGTTGAAAAATATGTTTTTACAAGTTGGTTTATTGAAATATTATGGACAGCAACAAGGAAAAATGTCTCTATATGGAATATGATCGCTCCACTATATTGCAGGTTAGCTTCTTAAGATTCATTATGATAATTGTTGAAGATCTCACAAATGTTTAGAGATGTCCAAATAATAGTATATAAATTTGAATACTGTTTTGAATTTGATAATTCAAAAAATATTCCATGATCATCAATCCAAAACATTGAAAAAACATATATTTTTTATTTTTAATTGTGTGTAATCTACAAATTTTCAGAATTAAGTAAACAAAGAATTTTTCATATTAAGAAAATTTAGAAGGTATTGAAAAAATTGATTACCTGCAACAGTAATCAGATTATTCAAAAAGAGAAAAAAAAAATCTAAAATTAGGAGTGAGAAAAAATTAGACCTGAAAATTAAATTATAACTTAAGATTATTTTAATCTTTATGTGCAGATAATATTGATCAGAACAAGTTACTCAAAACTTAATAAAGTTATCTTACTGTAAAAATAATTCTTGGAGCACATTATTTATTAATATAAAAAAGTCATAAATTTATATTAAAATTTATACTTAAACTGAAATAATAATAATAATAATAAAAGAAATAAGTTTCAAATATTTTCCATCTAGAGCAATAAAACATGTATACACTGATATCACAAAAAAAAAAAACAATGGAAGATAACTAATGGAGCCAAAAAGGAAGAAAAAAGAGGTTGTGAAAATCATACATATATTTGACGTATGGTCACATGAGTAGATCATCGAGGAAGGGGTTGCTGAATGGTAATTCGATGGCTCCAAAAGCTATTAGGAATAAGATTGTCCAAATCGGTAGCATCCATTGAACCATAAACAGTAAGATTCCCTTTCCTGCAACAACAGAAGGGAGAGGGAAGAGAAGAAGGACGTTAAAATCACCATTAATTAGAGATGAGAATGGAGCTGTGAAAGGAGAAGGTACTGGAAGAAGTGATTTTGGACTCGGCATTAGCGTCGAGCCACTCTCCGGTCTCTCTCATCTTCTTCTGCACTCTCCCTTCCATGGCTTGACCCAGGAACAAGTCCATCACCGTCTTTCGCATGTCGGAGCCCCTGTTCATCAGAATCAACTACGTTTTCAGGAACAAGCGAAACTATTCGACGAAGATTGAGAGAAGAGAGGAACGCACCGTAGAGGAAGGGGTTCGGTGTCTCTGAAGCTTCCGGCGCCGACAATGCGTTGCATCTGCATAACAGAGGGTTTCGGAGGCTCGCTCGGAACCCTGTTTCTGCTGGAAAAACGTTTCGTTGGAAGAGAATTTGAATCTGAATCGGAGATTTGGGGAATGTTCCCACTCCCCACTGTGGGTTTGGATACACTGCACACGCAAAACATGCTTCCTTCTTTCAACTTTTCTCCAAAGCCTTCTTCCCATATATATAACACGGATAAGACCACGCCACCCTTAAAATATCTCTTACGTTGCAAACCATACACAAAGATAACAAATATCTCATCGTTTCTTTATTTTAAAGGATGTAATTATTTGTTTCAGTTACAGATAAGTAATATATGAGGGGAAGTATTTCAAGCCAAAATTACTTTCCTAGAGGTCTAATTACTATATGTGCTGAATGGCAAAGAGATGTTTATTAGTGAACCTTTGGACATGTCTTTATTGAATTTTCTTAAATTTGGCAATATCTTTATGTCAATTTACAGAAGTGTCCTTCTGGTCTATATCCATTTTAGATACACAATATACTTGTTGTTTTTCCAAACTGAAGCTGAAGCTGTGATTTAGCATCACGACTCTAATCTAGCAAAAGATATGCAATTCTTTTATTTTATTTGTTTGTGAATGTTGAAATTATAGTATTTCGTAATAAGATGTACATACTCTTTTTATATGCTCCCCTGGTGTTTTTATTAATGCATGCATAGCTTCTGATAGTGTGATTCATGATTATGCTTTGTGTACCAAAATATCATTGTTTCATGTGTTTCCTGGTGTATGGTTTCCTTTGTGGTTGCTTTCTGGTTGAGCTGGTGCTTATTTCCACTGTAACAATTTATACCTAAATGCTAATTTTGTCCTGGCCTTGAACAACCTCTAACTTCACCTTGAACACATTTCACTATAATGGGGGCTTGTGGTCATAGTCGGCTTCAAAGGGGTTGCAGCTGTGTGGAGTCATGATAAGTTGTGTTATACCAATATTCGGGCCAAGGTGACATAGCATGTTGTGAGACACTACAAGGAAAATAACTATGACTATATTTTCCTAATTGACACGATTCACAATAAATTAGATAAATTTGACAAATTGAAAACAAGCTGTTGCAATTTGACAAGACTGAGATGACCTAATTGAGCATGAAGACGAGATGGAGACTATAACTATGCCAACATGTGTAGAAAGACGGAGATGATAAAGGCCATGAGACTCATCCAGTGCTAATTATTTGTCCTGATTCTGGTTCGGTAAACAAACAAAATTTTTGGTTAAAGAAATAACACAATCAAGAGAACAATTTAGACGATTAATGGATAATAAGTTAAAAAAGGACCCAAGTACACAAAGAACATTACTAATGGTTAAAGATGGAAAAAGATTAAGAGAACCAACACTATGAGATAAGACCCTATATCCATATAGGATAAAGAACAAAACAAAGATTTTGAATCAAGAACCCACGGTCCAAGATAAGAAGGTTGAGTTAGGCCAACAAAAAATATACCTATGCATGCAATAAAAGCAATGGAACTATAGTTTTGATGATCTCATACCATTTGAGAAATTCATTGAATAGAGCAAATTGGTCTCTTCCATCAGAAGAAGCAGCAAAAAAAGGCATGGAGAGAGAAAAATCCTAAAAAATCAAGGTTCTCTAATCAAGGCATTAAACACAAATTTTGAAAGAGGAGAAGGAGGCGAATTCAATGTAGTTGATATTGTTGTCCAAATGATACGATCCTATCCAGAAAAGAATACACGCATTTCTGAATTTGATTCCTCTTGTAGTATAAACAAAGAAAATCGGTGAACAATATGAAAATAAGACAGAGATGGAGATGCCACAATCTAGGAGATTGATGGGTCAATGAATATTCGCCACTAAAATCTCAATCTTTGATAACATGTGTCTTATGACAAGAAGCAAGAGAATCCTCTCTCGATGAATTCAAAATTCATATATTGACTATCAAAAGCTTTAGGCTTTAGATACCATATTGAATATAGTAAAACTAGGTATAAGATTAATCTCCCTTGTATCTAAAACACACCTAGGATAATATATTTATAATGAAGAATGATACAAGTATATATGGCAACCAAAGATAAATGTGGTAAATAGAAGATATTGTTAAAAACAATATCAACAATATCTACCAATGTCAAACAATAGTAAAAGTCTAGGTTTCCCTAATTAACATAAAACACAATATATCTAGCAGTAGGGTTGTTGATTCCTTGTATCAAAAGTTTTCCTAATAGGTTTCAGACAACATTTTCCTTGGTGGTATGGGATGGTATAGGTAAAGATCATATGTTCATTTTGAAGCCCCAAAAGTGAAGAATGTAATGCCCTTATGATTTCTTGCCATTTGAAACATTTTGTATTGAATTTCGTAACTAAAATAATTCTTTCCCTTTGAATCATAGAATAGAATTTTCTTCAAACATGATTGAGAGGAACAAATTCCCACCAAACAAAATTTCAAGAATCTGAAAACTAAGTACGAACCCAACACAAATTTGGGTTGAAAAGAGCAAAAGGGAAAGCTTCTAGAACATAGCAAGAGATTTAGGTTGTAGAGATAAAGCTATGATACCATATCCATTGACTAAATGCCTCTCATTGTTGGGAGATCCCCATTTAATAAGAATCCTTAACATTATTCAAGAAAAATATTGTGTGTAGCTATACAAGAGATTTATGTTTAAGAGTTGAAGCTCTGGTACCATATTAGATTTGACTGAATGGTTCTCATCATTGAGGAACCCCATCTAATAGGAATCTTTTAAAGTTATAAAAGGAAACTTTACCTATATCTGTACAATGATATTTTGCTTAATATGTGACTAATTTAGAGTTATTAAAATTTGTCAACTAATGAAGTAAAACAGCAAGTATGCAATTTTTTTCAAGTATGCATTGTGGAGAAATTACAGGGAAATCGATAAAGATGTTATAAATCAGGAATTTAACTAATAAAAAAATAGCGTTTAATTGTTTCATGTTGTGTATATCATTTGAGGAAAAAGTATTTATGGTTCAGATGTGTGGAAGGGCAGGCCGACCCCCATTTGATGATACGGGCATGGTTATAATCATGACAAGGAGAGAAACGGTGAACTCTGCTACTTGCATATATATATTTCCTACTCATTTCGCTCTCTTATTTGTTCCTGTACTCACAATGCTCTTTAATTTTGACCACGAGCTCTACTGTTTCACATCACGTGTTCTTATCTGCTCTTACATAATGTCATACGACAGGTTCATTTGTACGAGAATCTCTTAAATGGGTGCGAAGTGGTAGAATCACAGTAAGACTGTCACCCCCTAAATTGCTGTATAGATATTATGGCTTTGACTATTCCTCATGGCCTGCTAACGTTGCATATTTACCAAATTCAGATAATTAGTGTTTGCTTACTATAGATTGCTCTCATGTTTGACGGAGCATTTACTTGCGGAAATAGTTCAACTGACAGTATCTGATATTACAAAAGCAATTGAATGGCTTAAATTCTCCTACTTGTATGTTAGAATGAAAACGGTAAGTAACTCCGGATGCCTATAATTTTGTTCATTAGTTTCCTGTCCCATCTGACAATTCTTATGCACAAGCAGAATCCTATGAACTATGCAATTAAGAAAGGCATTTCTGGTGATAGTTTAGAGAAACATGTACAAGGTACAATTGTCATCATTTCCCCCTCCATTTGTTTCCCTCGATAAATCATTGAAGCTATTTTCTCTCAGATATATGCGTGCATAAAGTTAAAGAGTTATCCCAATGTCAAATGGTCTGGGTTGATGAAGACGGTTTCCTCTTGCGACCATTAGGTATTAATATATTTTAAGTATAATGAATATTCCTGATGTATTGGTAAGAGATTACAATCCACATTGATTGCTGATGTCTTCTTTTTCCTGCCTTAGATCCTGGAAGGTTAATGACAAAGTACTATTTGAGATTTGACACTATGAAACAGATAATGCGGACTCCTGAAAGTTGCAGTTTGGAAGATGCACTTCATGTTGTGTGCAGTGCAGAAGAAATTGCATGTGCGGTTATATTTGTATAAAGAAATTAATAACCAATGCATTGACATTAAAACTTGACAATTCTGCACTGTAAAAAAATGAAGGGATACAGCTTAGACGCAATGAGAAGAAGCTCTTAAATGATATCAATGCTGATAAAGATGGACGGCTTCGCTTTCACATTCTTGGAGATAAAGGGAGAAAGAAAAAGCGCATTCAAACAAGAGAAGAAAAGATATTTATTTTAGCAAATGACTGCTTAACTGGTGATCCATCAGTTCATGACCTATCTTTGATTCAGGTGTTGCATTGTAACATCAGTTTGTTTTGTTGATCAACATTCTAAAATCTTTAGTGATTGAGTAAACTTGATGCCACAGGACATGAATTCTATATGCTCAAATGGATTTAGAATAGCAAAATGCATGAAAGAGTACTTTGTTTACAAACGGAATTACAAAGGAGCTGTGAATTCAGCACTTCTAGCCAAATCACTCGACCAGAAACTTTGGGATGACAGTCCATACCTTCTGAAACAGTTACCTGGAATTGGGATGGTCACAGCAAAGGTAATATTTATTGATGCGTTGATGTTATTAACGCATAACAGTTAATAAATATGCACAAGCAACCAGTTGGGTAATGTTCTTATTTTGATATTCTTTCTAGGCACTGCATTCAATGGGAGTCAAATCGTTTGAGGCACTTGCTGAAGCTGATCCTAGGAGAATAGAGCTAGTGACTGGTCGAAAATACCCATTTGGTAACCATATTAAAGATTCTCTACTATCTCTGCCTCCGAAAGTTGATGTGAAGCTTGCAGAAATTGAAAACCATATAGAAGGAAAGTCCAAGATAGTAGTGACGTTGACTAGGAAAGCAGAGTCAGGCCAGTCAGTTAAAGGACATTATGCTGATATGGTGTGTTATTTGAATGTCTTCTAAGGAGAATTTCTTGCATATGACAATTACAATAAGTTGCACAAATTTCTTTCTCACAGATCATTGGTTCAGAGGACAATACTATTCTGTTTCATGAAAAGATAAGGTGATGACTTACTAATTCAGTTTTTCGACTTCATATTGTACAAGAATTTACAATTCCTAAAAAATATTATTGATGGTATTGACTCGTTGGTATTATGACAAACTAAGTGTACAAATTGTTCTTTCTCATCTGATCAAGGTTTAATGTTCCCCAAATCGTTACCACAGGGTTGACCAGTTCCCCAGGTACATGATTAAAACC